GGTCCGAGACAACTTGACAAGCACATTACAACAAAGTGGGAATCAAGGTAGGTGAGGAAAGTTGCATATATGTACAAACTCAGTTTAAAAGAAAATTTGGAGCATAGCTTTTAAATAAAATTTAAGAAATGGAAAATATCTTTATATTTATAAAATCACCCTTTATCTGTGCAACATAGAATACCATGCTGCTGGCATGGTATCCAGACCAGGGAAATTTGTTTCCCTTCAAGATCCACTGCAGTCCACTGACAGAAAAATGTGATTCTACATATGCAAACCCACTCTTATACCTCTATGGTTAGTATGGCTGGAACTAGCAGAAATATATGTGAATCATACACGTACGTGACAACATACCACCTTGTCTGTTACACCAGATATTTTTCTGCCACACAACCAGGACCTGTTCTCACAATACCTCAATGCTGCAAATAATTCCTGAAGACACAAGAATCAGATTGTTATGCAGCAAGTCACTGAGAGATGCAATTCTTCTATAAGTGGTGAGAGAAAGGAGCTAGAAAAGGGGGAGTGAGAGCAGGTTCAATTCAAAAACCTTCAGCCTGGCTTAGCCATTGGGAGATGGGCTTGTCGCCAAACCTCCTGCCTCTAGAAGAGAGGAGGTGGTATCATTCCCTCCTTCAAACAATCAAACATAAATACAAACCATCCCTATTGCAACACTTGAGCGTACAGCATCTCAAGTGAGCCTCCAGATAATGAATGGACTGGGATGATTTAACAAGGGCAGAGAGGTGAAGTAAGTAAAGAGACCAGTAAAGAAACTGCTTGATTCCAGTTTAGAAGAAAGGTTTTATTTACCCATTCATAATGTTCCTGTTTTACAAGTAAATGCAAACTTAATAAATACCATTGTTGCTAAGCATATTCCATCTCCAATAGTGAACTCAGATATGGAAGGCAGTGATGTGGGAGGTCTGGGAGTGGCTGGAGGCATGCAAACAAAGCTTCTTTATATTCAACTGGATCTGTATTCGTTGTCGTCGTTTAGTCGTGTCCGACTCTTCATGACCCCATGGACCAGAGCACGCCAGGCCCTCCTATCTTCCACTGCCTCCCGGAGTTCTGTCAATTTCATGTTGGTTGCTTCGCAGACACTGTCCAGCCATCTCATCCTAAGGGTCTAATGTCTAGAAATATTTATGGAGATTCCCAACTTCAGAAGGACCAGTAACATGCTACTGAAAGAAAAAAAAAGAACTCTATGGCATGACCTCTAGTGTTCATTTTGGCAAGGGCAAAGTTGTCTATACGTCCCTGTGGTTTACTCAGAGTGAAATTTTAATGAAATAAATGCAAATTATTTCTGTCAAATGTGTCTAAGATCAAGGCATTAACACTATACAAACAGTAATTATTATTTGTAATGAACACACTCACTGTTAATGAATTTGATTTGTTCAGCCATGGGGGAAAAAAAAGCAACTGACATGATGCAAATATTAAAACATTAATAGTATCATATGGAGGATGGAAGAGAAACATAAAATAGGTTTTTAAATACCAGCATTGATATATCATATCAAGCCAAACTCAGCCACCAGTTCTAATATTTAATACACCCAGACAAAAGAAAATATGTACAGGACTATTCGAACATATCGAATAAGCTTATAAAAATATATGCATATAAATAATAAAAAGAGAAGGCATTTCAATTCATGCTGTTATTTTTTAATTCCAGCACACAATATTTAGAAACCTTTTTTTAAAAAAATAAATGTAAGCTTACTGCTTATAGCATAATGGGGCAAAACATTGCCAAACGGAAAAATGTAACTTATAGAATCAGTTCTCAGCACGTTTTCACCATCAACAAGTCGCTTAGAGGAATCCTCAGTACCAAAATGTGTGGCAGAAAGGTCACTGTGTCCTTGGATGCTGAAACATTACAGCCACTGCAATTCATTTGAACACTTCCTGGGAATAGTAGTACCATAGTAGAGGCAACAGTTATCTCATCCAACATGTAGCTTGATTTATTAATACTTGGCTTTTACCTTTATTGCAGGATGGCCAAGATAGCTCACAAAAATGAAACTAAATAAATTGGGACTCTGCTATTTATCATTAGACCAATGATAAATAGCATGGTCCCAATTTACAGTGGTGCCTCGCGTAGTGATCGCTCTCTATAGCGATGAAATCGCTTTGCGATGGACTTTTTGCGATCGCAAAAGCGATTGCTTTCCTATGGTCCCTATGGGTATTTCCGCTTTGCGATGATCGCAGGGAAGCGATCATCGCAAAGCCCCCATATTCGCACAGCTGATCGGCGGTATCAAAACTGCCACCGGGGAAAAAACATGGCCGCCCGCTCTTTTTTTGGAACGGATTCCTTGCTTTAGAGGCACCGAAAATGGCGGCGCTATGGAGGATCTTCGCTCAGCAGAGTTTTAAGCCCATAGGAATGCATTAATCGCATTTTAATGCGTTTCTATGGGCTTTTTTATTTCGCTTAGCAATGTTATCGCTTAGCAGTGATTTTTTCGGTACGAATCAACATCGCTAAGTGAGGCACCACTGTATTTCATGGCCATCCTATAAATCTAAGGTTCCCATATGACCTCTGTGGTTATTCCCATTGCCTTTCACATGGGTAATGATAGTCTAAATTGCTTTCAGTCATGAAAAGTGCCGTGCACACCAACTCTTTGTGCAATACAGATGTCATTGAAATTTGGCACATTTGTACAAGTTGTTTTAATCCCTCAAAATATAAATAGCAGAATCCTAAATACTAAGAGTGTGATCTGTTAAGGTGCTTAACATTCCTGCCATGTACACTTGCAATGTATATGTTCCTCATTGCTAGGTGTATTGGGACCAGGGTTTTAAAAAGCAACTTCGCAGTTAAGTTCAGGGCAAACTTCGGAAGGAAAATGGCTAGGAAAACCTATGTGAATCAGGTCAATATGCCACACATGACACCGGATAATTTGAGAAGTAGCTACCATAGAAGCTCAAAGGTATTTACTTATAAGTAAATGCATTTAAGCTTGAACTGCATATCACTTTGAATAAACACACTCCACCTCAATAGGTGTGTGGATCACACACTTAAGATGAAACATTCAAACCACTTATTGAAATATTCCCATCAATTTTGGCTTTAAGGATGACAGTCAAATTTCCTGATAACATTGGAGCTGAATCAATTACTTCCCTAGGATGATACTTGAACTAAAAAGTTGCAAATTTTGTGATTCTTAGCTCTTGCTCATAAGTATCTGGACTTCTGGATGCAATACACAAAACAGTACCATCTATTAATGTTGGGGATTTCAAAAGTACAGTGGTGCCCCGCATAGCGACATGAATCCGTTCCGGATTAATCATCGCTATGCAAAAACATCGCTAAACGGGTCGGAAAAACCCATAGGAACGCATTAAACTTCGTCTAATGCGTTCCTATGGGGCCCAAACTCCCCGGTCAGCGAAGTTCCTCCATAGCACCGCCATTTTCGTGCCCTCGGTAAGCGAGGGCAGGGCGCAATAACACTTGTGGTGGCCATTTTGGGCACCCGGTGGTCATTTTGGAACCGCGGATCAGCTGTTCAAAAAAACATCGCAATATGAAGATCAATAAGCGAAATGCTTACCGATCATCGCAATGCAATGTTTTACCATATAAAACATCGCAATGCGATCGCATTAGCAATCTAAAAATTAGATCGCTATGCGGATTCATCGTTAAATGGTGCACTCGTTAAGCGAGGCACCACTGTACTCAGAATTAAAAGCAATTGCATTTCTGTTCAAAGAGTGAAGGAGCAAACAGCGTAATAAAACTACTTAGGGGGTATTTGTATTTAATCACTCAACCTTAGGTTACGGCCATGGGTGAGATACAAAGCATACTGCAAAATTTAATTTAGAATTTAAAAATGTATGATTTTTCTTTGTTAAATTTATGGATTTTTTTCATAAAGGATGGTTATGGGGAACTATATATACAGAATATTCTATAAACTGTAGTTGTTTAAAAAAACTACCTTTCTGTTGCATTTTGATTACAGCTAAATAAATATGTCAGATAAAAGTTACATAGTGAATGTAGCAACTCTGCTGCCCACACCTTATTTTTACAAGAGCATTTTAACTAAAAGTATAAAGTACGTTGTAACATGTCAGGGGGTTGTACTGCCAGACATGTCATGTCAAGATGATCAGCATTTTAATCCTGAAGAATAAATGCTAGTACTGTATAAGGATGATGCAAGCCCTTTGCCCAAAGAAAACAGTGCATAAAGTCATTTTGTGGCAGTTTGACAGGGAAGGACTGGAGACTAAAAATATTTCATAAACTAGGGGAAATGGCAGTTCACTTGAGCAGTTGCTTTGTTCCAATTTCTGTGTTGTTGATAAACATGACAGTAACTAACACCAAGTCAGAGAATCACCCTCCTCAATCCAAATACATTGCCTCGTATGGAGTTCTTTAGCAGAAAACCTCATTTTGCATCAAGGTTATCATTGACTCAAAGATATCATAGTAAGGCAGGAAGATAATTTGAAGCAATATGTTAATCAGTCTATTGCCCAGAATACTCAAGCATGTACCCAGGCAGTTCTTTTGGTCAGGACAACTTGCTTAATCAAGTTTTTTTTCTTGTCAGCAAGCAGTTTGTATGTTTGCTTGTTTGTTTAGTGTATGACATCACCTTCCTGTAGAGCCTGTCAGCCTCTAGCTGACACTGGGAGTTTTCTTCTTTCCATGTTACCGGAATTCAGACTCCAATACTAATACTAGTCACTAGTGTTTTCATCAAGTTAGCCAAGGAGGCTAACCATGCATTTTGTCATTAGTAAGGTTCCCACAACAACATGCTTCTTTCTGCAAGCAGACAACAACTTCAAGTTAGAATAAAATATATAAATATATACTTGGTCTTTTGCTCCTCCCTTTAAATAAGTTTGTAATTAACCAACTTAAAAACTAGTTTAACAGATAAAGAATACAATTTAAATCAATCTCTGAGTCACCAAGTTTTTTTATAGACTACGATTAGATTTATGACCACTCAAGCTAGTTCTTCGAGGGGGAAGTCCAGGAGAAAATGGTTTCAAGTACCAAAACCTGTATGTTCCACACCAAGCTAAGAGGCCCACCAAAGTACCAAATACCTTTTGGGAGATATCATGGAAATATACAGCAGTGGTAAAAAACATCCACACCCAGATCAGGAGCAAGCAACTCAATGCCAGGAATAAAATACTGACTATCCTTTGTAATCTGGGATCCTGGGACGTTTTCACACTGTGCATCACAGTTATCTCCTCTGTGATCATTAGGATACAGTATGAGAGGAGGAAGCAGTGTCCTGAAATGTCAAAACCATGCCAGAAACCATGCGCTTGCTGGCACTGTTGTTTGCTGGGATGTTCCTTGAGCAGATGATCAAGATCTGATGATCTATAGCAGCTGCCGGTGAGATCCTCAATGTGCAGGAATACCCCTGTGCATGCATACCAGATGGCAGTACCAGCCAACAGACTGCTGAGACGTTGAGCCACCACAATAGGGTTCCGAGTGACAAGATAGTGGGTGATGCCGATGAAAGGCAGGAGGAGAAACAGTGTCCAGGCCCAAGCAAATTTGACAAAATAGCTGCCAGAGAGAACATGAAGAGAACTATATTAAGCTCCTGGTAGGAATCAGAAGTATACTACGAGAAGTTATCAAATGATCACAATTGCATCACATCTATGTCCATCTTAGCTAATATTTCTCAGTTTCTAGATTCTAAGCACAACCTATCTTATTCTCCAGGTTCTAGATTGTGAGGTCTAAGCGACCTAAACATCTATATCAGCTTTTATCAGCCTCCCTGGTGTTAAGATCAACAGAACAGGCCTTTCTCACAGTCCTGCCACCATTACAGGTGCACTTGGTGCAGATACAGGAGAGGGATAACGGTCCTGCCACCATTACAGGTGCACTTGGTGGAGATGCAGGAGAGGGATAACAAATATTTTAAATTAATGAAATTTAAATAAACCATTGTGTCAGGTATCTGTAGTCCCTGCAATAGGAGAATCAAGTAATTTAGTTTAATTTCAAAGTCCAACAAGAAATCATTTCTCAAAACTGAGGTTAATTAAAAGACAGGTGAAACACAATCAGAAGGCTCAAACTGAGAGGCTGTGATTTCACACAAATTGCAAATAATGTATTGTGATGCCACATGGGCTAAGTGTCCTAAATAATAATTCAAAATTTGGAGTGGGGCTGTAACTTAGTGTGGAGTATAAGTGTTGCAAGGAAACACAAAGATTCTGTTTTAGCATTGCCAGGTAGACATGATCCTGGAGAGCCACTGCTAATCATTGCACACAAGAGATGGGCAAACTGCTACCCTCCCTGTTTTGTATGGCTGCAACTCCCAGTATTTGTCAACTTTAGCCAAACTGGCTAAAACTGTGTGGTCCCACAGGAGGACCACTCATCATCAACCCTTGCTGTAGCCAAAACTAAAGCAGGTTGATTAAAGAAAAGACAGTTTCTGAAACGCAAATGCCCAGGAGAGAAGCCTTGATTCAAAGAAGAAAAACACCGAAGGTAGTGTATGCGCCACACCTACAAAATATTTGGGACTTTGATCTAACCACGTTAAGCTACTGCTTTACTAGATTACTGTAACTAAATTGTTTCTCATTGTCAGCCTTCAGAACTAAACAGAACACACATATATGATAAACTGCAATGATTAAATGACTGCTTTTACTCAATAAATATATTATGATAAATAAATAGCAGTGATCTTCTTCATGGATCTTCGCCCCAATTTGCAGGAAAGAAATAACACGGTGGTCAAATGGCTCTCCCCCCCCCATGCTAGCTACCAAGGCCACCTCCCCATAATCTGCCTCCCTCCCTCCAGCAAAGTAAGCCCCCTACTTGCGCCACAGCAAATCTCCCTCCCCCGTTCCCCATCGAACTTGTCGCCCTCACAAACAAGCTTTGGAGTACGAGCGAGCCCCGCTCCCCAGCCCTCACACGTTGAGGATGTTGCGCTTGTTGCTCATGTAGGATTCGGGCAGCGGCGCCAACTCCTTGACGAAGGATCCACCCAGCATGAGGGCGAAGAGACCCCAAGGCATCAGTCGCCGTACTGCGCGGTTCACCAGGTAAGGCAGCAGGCAATGCGCGCAGCGATCCACGGACTCCATCACCAACGGCCCGGCGAGTTATCAGAGGGCAAAACCGAACTAGTGACCGCCGCCTCGCGAAATTCCCGGCCACCGTAGTGCGTCACTGGGTACCACCCCCGACGGACAAACCGGCCCCGCCTTCTCCCAAGGCGCAGGCGCAGTTGGCCCAAAGCCGCTGCAATGGGGGCGGTGAAGGACGCCGCGCCGGTCGACTCAACAGGCGCGCGCTCCGCCGCCTGCTGAGTCAGTAACTGTCATTTTAGCTGCGCCTGCGCGTAGCACTTAAAAGCGGCGTGGCCTGAGCTGAACCTTTTGGGTTGCAAGGACATACAGAATTATTTGGACGCCGGTTCCACTGACGTGAGAGGCGGTTGCTCCCGTTCCGTTCGTTCTTTTAAATGGAGAGGCTATCATGCGGACCAAGTGTGATTACCGAGGAGTTCTGGAGTTAAAAAAAACAGTTGTGGGTCTCGCCAGACAAGGCTGTCCGACATTAAGGCACCTGGGAACTGCTTTCAAGGTGGAGTTTCCAAGACTGGCAGGCAGATACAGGTCGACGTTGCCTACTTGGCATGTGTCTTTTTACATCTGCCTGCTTTTAGCTGTTAAATAAATTACGCTGTTTGTTAAAAAGGGCTTCACAGTCCTATGTACGACTGGATAATAACAAAAGCACCCCAACCCACTCCATACCCAAATAAAGGGCAATGATCTAGGTCCATACAGTGGTCCAGTCCAAACAGCCTGGTAACCATTAGGAGACATTCTCACCTGCTTTGTCCCCAGGCATTATCAGAGTTTGCAGATCTCTTGTGAAAAATGTAACATTTCTGCAGAGTTAAGGAGAGGGGGCACATATAGGACCCTAATTGACTGATCTGTTTACTGAAAGCCCATAGAAATATTTTCTTCCCTTAGTCACAGATGCACTCAGTCCTAATCATATCAAAGTATTTCGGAAAAGTCTCACACTAAAGTTGAGCAAATAAAGGGGGGGGGAGTATTAGGGCATGTGAAAAAGCTAAGTACACTAAATGGCAAAACAAGCCTTCGCTCTACAGCCCTGCAGAATGTTTGGTGAAGGAGCTGCAAGAGAATATGCAGTATATATGATACTCCTAGATGGTCTCAATCTGAGCCTACCTCAGTGGTTGGAGTGTCCAGGTGAAATCTTAGATTTCATTGAGATGTTTAGCTGTTCTGTACACGCTGCGGGTTACACTGCAGAAGCCTCTGTGCTGCAAGGTCAGAAGACCTGCAGTCGTAAGATTGAATCCATGTGACGGACTGAGCCCCTGTCGCTTGTCCCAGCTCCTCGCCAACCTAGCGGTTCGAAAGCATGCAAAATGTGAGTAGACAAATAGGCATCACCACGGTGGGAAGGTAACAGCATTCCGTGTCTAGTGACACTGGCCACGTGACCACTGTCTTCGGACAAACGCTACCTCTATGGGTTTGAAACGGAGATGAGCACCACCCCCTAGAGTCAGACAGGACTGGACAAATTGTCAAGGGGAACCTTTACCTTTTACATTACACTGTCCAGAGACATAACTATTCCATTTATCTGAAGAAGGGTGCTAAAATACAAACACTTGCAAAAAAATGTTCGGTTCCCCCAGCGAGCTTGCATGGCCAAGTGGGGATTTGAACCCTCATCTCCAGAGTTGTAGTCTGTCACTCTATCCACTATACTACATAGGCCTAGGGTATCCAATTATGGGAAGCAGTTATTTCTGCAGAGTTTAATGGCAAGGGAGACTTGCTGAAGGTTTTAGAGGCCTGCAGTAAAAAGGTGCATCTAGCATTGTAACTGAAATGTTTAAACTGTTTTGCTGCTGTGTATTTATAAAGTACATTATATGTATATACTAAGTATTTGCTTTATTTCTTGTTTTGTTTACCCTTCCTATCCCTTTTTTGTCTGACAAGATTTCCATTACTTGTTGCAACAAATTGTGGCTAATTAAGAAAAGTCAGGGCTTCTATTTTTCAACATGTATCAATACAAGCCTTGTACATTTTTTTAACTACTGGCAATCTGAGATACTTAGGAGTCGTTTACATGAGTGGGCCTATGTAATAGGTTTCTGATGTTTGTGTTGTATCCTTTTGATTCTAAGCATAAGGGGTGGAGCTATTCGTCTTTGTTCATCTGTAAGCTGCTTAAAAATATTTTGAACAAACAAATACTGTACATGCATTTCACACAAATGGAACCAAATAGTATGATGCTGAGAATATCAACATTCTTTATTCCTGACTTTTAAAGATGTGGTATCAACAAAGAATAACTGATAATTTAGTGTACAAAACAAAATGGCATACTTTAACTCTGGATGGGTTTCTTAAGGATTGAGTTCTTCCCGAGTGTATCTGTATGCTAAACTCTTCCACCGAGTTCTTCCTCAGATTCTTCCAATGTCTGATAGTTTTTCCTGCTCCAGGACTGGTACCAATGTTAGCAAACTCATTCTTAGAGGAGACCTGTTCTGCTTCTTTGCTTCTCATGATTGCGGAAGGAGTTGTCTTTGGGCCTTTGGACTCCTCTGATTGTTTTGGGTAAGTATTTATTTGGTGCTTTAATTCTGTGTTATTGCTGTATATTGCATTTTGTTATTAATTTAATTCGTTGTTTGTTTCTTTTAAAAGTTGTATCATGTCTTGCAAACCTGACTTATGAACAAATCAATATCTACCATACAAAAGCTGTGCACATGTACTTGAGGGTAAATTTCCTTCAACAAGGAAGAATATGCTGGATACAAATAGATAGCAAAGGTGCTGGGTACTGATTGTTGAACTTGAGCTCATTATGGGTAGCTTTCTTAGAGAATTCATTCAATAGTTATCCAAGCTGCATATGCATGTATTACGAATAGAAGAGGAATGTTCCCGTATAAATAAGTTATATATCGATATCATGCCATTTCAACAATGAAAAAAGCAGGAGAATAAAAGAACAAAGCAGCATGGAAAGAGTTGTAACAGCCATGAACCAGTGTAATGCGTGCATTCATGCTGATTTCCACAGAGTGGCAGTATGTGGTTGGAAAATTAGACCGTTTCTCTGGAACTTGTTGAAGTGGGTTTTACAGTCACAAATACAAAACTACAAGAACAATAATCTCATCTGTGGTGCAAGTGCAGGTAATTTTATACCAGGATAAGCACTTTTAATTTGTTAATTCATTTTAATTACCATGAGCACTCTGGATCCTCAGTGAACCAGGCAGAATATTTGTGTATAAAGGCATCACCCATGTTCCATTACCAGCCTGGAATCTGTCAGCTGAACACAGAACTGAATTGGGGGAGCGGGCTACTAACAAAATCTTAAGAAATCTAAGTGGATTATTGTTGGGAGAAGCTACTGGACAGATCTTCTTTGTCTGCTCATCTCAGTATCTTACCACTGCAATTATGAGGTGTAGAATCTTTCCTTGATAGGATAAAAGAGTTGTTCCAAATGAGGTACTGTACTTTCACTATTTTACCAATAAAATGTCATAAGGGAAGGTACATGGCTTTCTTTTTCTAATTTTTAAGTGGTGCCAGAAGAAGAGGCCTTTAGACAACTCCGTGTCTATTGAGAATACTGCTGGAACTGCTGGTAGATAAATTCCCCTAAAAATCTAGAAGCTAGATTTGAGGAAACTGTTATATATTATTGGGGGAAACCTCACCTGCAGTGCTGTTACAAGTTGACATTGCATGTAATAAGCCTTGTGGACTTTGAAGCTTTCTAAAGGATATCATCAAGACCTTTTTATTCTCAGAATATAGCGATACAAGAGGAAAGGAGCAAGCATTGCCAATTTTTCCAACTATCAATTAATTCTTAGATTATAAAAATGTAGAAGCCTATTTATTCATTCCGTAACAAAACGTATTAAATGCCAGACAGTGCAAACATTGGAAAAGATCCAGACATTGTAGCTAAATAATAGCTTTGTATCAAAGAAAGTAAAGTGTTATTGATTAATTCCAGATATCGATTGTGTCACCACAAGCATGGCTGTCTTCATGGCTAATCTACAAGTGTAACAATAGTATGAAAGTTCATGCTTCCCCACTGCTTTTTTCCTTCTTTTCTTTCTTTTTTGGTAGCAGCATTGATGGAATCTGAAATGTTCACACAGGTTTTTTGTACCACCTTGTGCCCTACCTCACAATGTCTGTCTCAAAATAAAAAGATAGGAAGAACTGGATTAGACCATAGGTCTATCTAAACTAGAATTTGATCACACAGTGGTCAGCCAGGCACCCACAGAAAGCCCACAAACAAATGACAGCATAATCTGTCATGACTCGTAGCCATTGATGATACAGAGGCACACTGTCTTTGGTAATGGACAGAATATAATCCATCAAGATGGATAGTTCCTGATTGTCTCCATCTTCTATCAATCTGTCCAGTTCTTCCTTAAAGCTGTTCAACTCAGCGGGTAAACTATGCATTGTATGAAAACTTAATTCCTCTCATCTATCCTCAACCTTCCACCAATACAGCTTCAACAGTTGTCCTCTGGTTCTAGTACTGAGAGCAACAACGGGGCTAAAGATATATGTATCTTTATAAAAACACAATAGACACAAAAATGAATCAAGCATTTTGCAAAGTTCTTAGGACTTTCCCTATATTTGTCATCTATTTATTAAATACCCTCTTTCCCTGAAAATAAGACCTAACCTGAAAATAGGCCCTAGTGTGATTTTTCAGGATGCTCATAATATAATATAAGCCCTGTCCCAAAAAATAAGCTCCAGTTAAGTGAAACCTCGCCCTCCACCATTGCGCAGCAACCAGAAGAAGATGACATGACTGTATTTGAATAAATGTAGATTGTTGTACATGAAAAAAAAACATCCCCTTAAAATTAGCTCTAATGTGTTTTTGGACCCTGTCTTATTTTCAGGGAAACACAGTATATGTTCCTCCATTCCTCATAAGAGATCAAAGTAATCTACATGTTGCTGCTCATCACCAAATCAACAACCCTGTGAGGTAAGTGATGCTAAGAAAATGTGGCTGCCCAAAGTCACTCAGCAAGATTAAATGGCTGAGTGAGGATTCGAACCTTTATCTCCTAAGTGCCAAAATATAAGCTGCAATCATATATACCGTATTTTTCCATGTATAAGACTATACTTTTGTCTAAAATCTTTAGACTAAAAATTGAAGGTCGTCTTATACACAGAAGTAAGCTGAGGAGAGAAAAAAAATAAGTGGAGGGGAAAGCAGGGATCAAAGTGATCCTGCAGTACTTTGATCTCTTTCCCCCTACACTTGCTAAGCTCCACTTAGATTTCTTAATTTTGGGTTAGAAAAGGGGGGCGTCTTATACAAGGGGGCATCTTATACACGGAAAAATATGGTAGATATTTGGAAGAAACTTCAGTTTAATTGTGGTATTCATACATGGAACAAGCACCAAATATGCTGGAGCAAATACTAAGGCTCACCAACCTCCCCTTCAACATTTTCCCCCTTGTGGACCAGTTCTCTAAAGAAAAGGTGGAGTTAGGTGGCTGATGTTATGCTCTTTGTTATCCCTCATGAGCCTGTTTGATATACGTTTTGATCTTAGTATCCAACAAAGATGAAGCAACTAAGATCAAGCAACTAAAACTGTTCTGACTTCTACACATCTCATACATCTCCATCCATTCTCAGGTAAGAATTCAAGGGTAACAGGCAGCATTATCAGAAAACACTGTGACAGGGTACCAATCCTTGTTTTGAACACATGTGCATAGGACTGGATTATAAAACATCTTTAACTCCCACTGGGTTCAAGGAGAGAACCAAGCATGTGCTTAAGTATTTCTACTGTATTGAAGGCAAGACATAATGCACTTTACTTTGGTTGGATTTGTTCAGTCTTTATTTACCTATTTCTGACTCTTTACGTCCTGTCCTCATCCTGAAAAACCATCAAGCAAGAAAGATTTTGAATGTCATTCCTGACAGAAAAGCTTTAAAATTAGTATAGTTTTATTGCAATCTGATTTTTGCATGTTTACTTGAAAATTACTACTATCCAGTTCTGTTAAACTGCTGTTTCCAGCAATGTTCATCAGATCATGACATTCACTCACCCTCTATACACTGCAATTGGCGGGGGCGGGGGCAGAAAGAGGAGATGCCATTTCATCAATCTGTGCAGTCCTGAGAGGCTGAAACTATGTCCAGAAAGAATGCATTTGTCATCTGCTCTGACAGCAGCTCCTCTCCAGGGAGCTAATACTGAAGCAAATGACAAATGATCTCTTTGTAAAGATAGCCACAACAGGTGAGGGCTGCACAAGCTGGAAAGAATACAGATAGTAGCATGCAGTGGTAGCAAAGGAGGTTAGCAGAAGTCAATAATTTAAACTGTAATCCTAGTGCAAGCAAATTGTGAAAATTCTACACATGACAAAGGAATAAGTAGGTCTGTGTCTGCTTATTGGGGAGGGAAGGAGCTATATCTCTAAAATAAATTATTGTTGATAAGAAATAATAAAGATATACATGTCAGTCCCTTACAGCTTAAAGGGTATATTATGGTAAAGTAAAATATCATGCACATTTGATATCTCCTCCCCTCCCATATACTGTATTATCCCAAACCTAACAGTTAATGTGTGTTGAGGTCCTGAATACCATGTGTTATATCTTGCTCCTTAAGTCTTTGCTACTCATTTGCCTTGTTTTTCTAGATAGCTGAGTGGTTTAGATATGGAAGTTTGATTCCCCATTGTGCCTCCTTGGCAGGAACTAGAGTTGATTATCCATATGGTCCCTTCCAGTTTTGCAGTTCTTGGTGATGAAGAAGCAGTTTGCTGCTCTATACTAGTATTAACATTCTCCTGAGTTACCCCACGGTAATATATAATAAAAGTACTGTTTTCAATGAGAATTCCATGATTCTCTACATACACATTCCAACAGAAAGAGGAGTCCATCAAGGATGCCTGTTGGCCCCTTCCCTCTTTAATTTCTATATTAACATGGTCCAAGAACTGAGTGGTCTGGAATTTCCCACCCACAATTAGTAATGTCAAGCTCTCAGTCCATCTATATGCAGATGATATTGCAATAGTCTCCACAACATTAATTGGTATGCGAAGACTCTTGACCTATTTGAGCAAATTCGGTGCAAGAGAACATGTAAGCATTAATTACATCAAAACTAAAGTTGTAGTTTTTCGAAAGAAGAGGAAACTCCATACATGGAAGCTTGATGGCAAACCCATCAAGCAGTTATGCAATTTTAGATATCTTGGCCTTTGTTTCAATGCCCAACTTTTGTGGAAATACCATCTGAAAGCATATGGAGCGAAAAATACGGTAATCTGAAAGCATCTCAGTCCTCCTAGTCTCTTTTGTGGTTTACCACAACCCATGGTGGGAGGTTGATGGCTGCTGCAGTTGAGGTGCTTGACAAGAAAATAGAACCCCCAAATAACATATGGGGCAGAGATATGGGGATATTAAATTACATCGAAGAAGTGATCCAAATTCTTTTATTCGATCTCTTCTAACTGTCCCCCATAGCACATATTCCGCATATCTAAGGGCTGAAGTAGGACTGATTCCAATTGAAACACATTCTCATATTGTGCTGGCCGTGTACTGGCTGAAATTGGCCCGCATGAATGATTCTCACCTTCCTGAGAAGTGCTACACAGAACAGCTCCAGGATCCATCTCGAAAATCCTGGGTGAATTTAGCAAAATTTGCCCTGGCAGCAAAGAAGATTCATGCCAATCTTCAAAAATTCTAAAGAAGAAGAGGCCTTTTTTTAAAAGTGAAATTAGTGTTACATATGTTTGATGCTGTCATTGAGATATTGTGATGACCTATAGTTTTAAGCAATCAACCAATAAAGTATAAAGTACCAATGTAAAAGCTAATGGCTCTCTGGGATTTTTGAAATTTTGTTAAAGTAAAACTAAAAATAACGAGCATTAAAATGTACGTTACTAGGGATTGTCTACAGAAGGGCCTGGTTTCTGACTTCTCTCCAGGAATCTTATGTGGGCTTAATATGTCATCATATATAGCACATGCTTCTGCAAAGCATCCCATAATTTTCCTCAGAAGGGATGTAAAGATCATGTTTTAGAGGGAATAATTAACAGAAAATAGAGATTTAAATATGAAGTGTCTGCCATGTGTTGTTCTGCTAAAGATTTCGTTCAGTGTGTTTTTTCATTGTAGATCCCACACAATCAAAAAGGCATTGTGTTTTACCCTATTGAGGAGTTACCAGCATGTGCTAAAGGCTTCTAGAAAAATCTTTTGAGTTTGAATTATGACTGTTGTCTGGGATACCAAGTGGCATTTTTGCATGGTTGTGAGAGGTGGTTGCTTCTCCTCTGAAATGTTGTGGCTTTCAACTCTACTTCAAAGCTGGGAGCTAGAATTAGCTTTTTATTTAAACTGAAAAGGATATATAAATATTGACAAGTGTTGGTTAACAATTTGTCATTTCAGTGACTTGTATTAAAGTGGGTGAATAAAATTATTCAGCAGGTTTTATTTAACAGTGCAGATATTTCATCAGCTTCCTCAAAGTTTATGCACCTTAAAATACTTGATTTACTCCCAAAGTGGAATTTTCCTTTCTTTAATGGACCATATCAATCCAGGAGAAAGAATGAATATTTAGTTTGGCTGCTTCTATCTTAACAAGTTTTCAAATTTAAATTTAAATTTCTTCCCTGGATAACCAAATTAATTCTTAAAAGGGCAAGTTGAGATTTGTTATTGCTAATATAAGCACAGACCCAGTAGTAAGAGAAAAATATTTGCTCAGATGATAATATATCTAACTTGTTATTCTTTCTGTCTTTAATTAAAAGAATCAGGACCATGGAAATATTCATATTTGGCTTCTAAAGTTGTCTACTACCAACTTCCAAATCCACTGACAATATTGGCAATAGGATACCTACCACGAGACCTTCCTCCACAGGTTCTGCAGACATCCATGTTCCATTTGCTACTAGTCCTACATCAGCTTACCAAGTCAAAGCTCCTGGTCTAATTTCTCTCTCAACTTCCTGGACCATGTTTCATAAAGATAGACATCCTGTTGCTGCAATATCCCAGCGTGGTGGCCACCCACATTAGGCATTGGCAGAGCCCTGTCTGAGGAGTACAGTAGCTTGCTGAGCCAGGCTGCTGACAATACCTAAAGACTCACCATAGCAAATCCTGCAATCATCCTTGCTGTGAAAATACCACTCCAGCTAGGATCTGCTGAGGATATCTCAGGAAATAGAGGATCCATCAGAGTCAAGCACCATGAGCAATAATATTGTTTATGACACCATTTACATCCTGTTATTCTGATAAAAGTAAAACAACCAAATATACTGGCAGCATAATCTAAAAGACAACATGAAACAAATGAAATACAAGAAGAAAATATGTATACTGGGGTATGCATGTATCTCACATAAAGCACAGCAAAGGGATGTTGACATGGAGACACAGGATCGAATCATGCATAAAAATCAGACACAAAAAGAAGTAGCCATCCAAAAGTTCAATCAGTGAGGCAAGTAATTTCAAGGAAAGAATCTAATGAATTTCTCCGGGCATGTCATGGTGTAGAAGCTGATGATTTCTGTTTGCTCTCAGGATTCTGTAACATGTCCCTATACTTCATGTGCTGATGGTTGTGTACTCATGTATTTATATATAGGAACAAGCAGTACAATTTGAAGAGAACATCTTGAATGTTCATGTGACTATATTGATGTGTGATCATTTAAATAGCTCCCACTGTTTAAATATTTTTCAAGCAATTGTCATTGCATCTACTTTAAAAACTATGTAAAATGGTAAAAGATGCAGTGCAAATGTATATAAAATATATAATATTGCATTTTTTTTGTTTTCCACTAGCAGTTCCAATCCTACCAATGGCAATCCATCAATACTTTTTGACCATTAAAGACTCCCTCCCCAATTCCGAGGCTCCCAAAGGTTTCCCCAGTGCAAAAGGAAGCCCTAGGGAACTCAAGAACCTAAAATGGGAGTGGGGAAGATAGGAAGTGTTTGATTAATTTAAATTAGCTTCAGCAGCATAACTTTACACCTGCAGGATTTTGCCCATTGTTTTTATTCACTGTTTTGTATTTTAGAAGTGTCTTGAAGGTGCAATATTAGATTAAGCTCTTGGAGAGAACCATAGCGTGTTTTGTTGTATTTTTTATTAGGTGGTGAGCACTTCAGTGCTGCAGGCATTAAAGAGAAAATTAGATACCGATCTGATCTACTTTGATTTGGATTCATGCACTGAGCGGGAGGTTGGACGTGATGACCTCATAGGCCCATTCCAACATTATTCTGTGATTTTATAAATATAATCCCTCCTGCAACATGTGTGGTTTTTTTCAGACATAATAGTTTCTTTTATTCTCAGTATATGTTTGTGTATTTCTACTGTAATGAGATTTGGAGGGAAAACCTATCGATCCAGTTTTTCCCAAAAATGTATATTTGTATACACTTCTTTATACATTTCTATCACGTCTTCCTGCTGACTGGTAGCTCAGAGAGTTGGAGTATCTGTGTGTGGGATCGCAAGTTCAATTCCCCACTATATCTCCCAGGAGAAGAGGTAGTCTGTGTAGCCTTGGGCAAGCTGCAGAACCCAAGAGTGCTACCAGAAGCAGTGACTGGTCAACCACTCCTGAATGCTCTAGGAACCTCTGGCAAAGACCGCCTTAAGTTAGAACTGACTTGACAACATAGATTAATTATATTGAGCCTCCCATTCCATGCACTTTTTTCCCAAACTAAAAAGTCCCATATATTTTAACCTTTCATTAGTTGCTTCAGCCCCCTGACAATGTTTGGGGCCTTTCTTCTTCTTCGTGCAAGTAGGGACAATTGAGGTTTATAAAATTATGTATAGCATGGGGAAACAGCAGAGATTTTCTCTTCAGAACTAGAACTGAATAGGCTCATCCAGTAAAGCTAATAAAGACAGACCAAAAAAATTCTTCTTTTCAAAGTGCACAGTCAAATGGTGTAATTCCTTAATGTACTGATTAATCAGTTAAAGCTCAGGTTATATTAACTAAAATGAATCCAGCTAAGATTAGATTTCTGATTCTTTTAAAAAAATCACGAAGTTGCCACACTGGAAGAGACGGTTTAATGAGAGAAAGGCTATATGATGTTAAATATATAATGTGCAGTTTAGGATGACCTCTGTTTTCACATTCACGTAAGTGTCTTTTGCCCCAATTGCGATCACAACAGTTACATGCAGGTCTGGGAGCTTCTATTCAGCTGATTGCTCTCCTCCCTTACGAAGAACAAAAATTTGAAGGTTGTTTCTTCCCCTCTTTGTCTCGTGCATTTCACTCACTCTTGTAACATTACACAGAAATCCTTTTTAGAAATAGCCTAAAGCATGTATATTTGAGTGTATGTATTGGTGGATATACATGCACTTCCAAGGGAAAAGCTGAAAGAAGAAAAGGATCATCCAGCCGTCCCACTGGCACAGAATTCTGATGATGACATGTCTACAAAGTTGCAGACACTAGAAACCTTGTCAGGCTTTCCAGGAAAGGCTGCTGGGTCTAGGACTGCAATCCTACGTACAGTTTCTTGGAATTTAGTCTTACTAAATAAAACAGGACTTATTTGCCCTGAGTAAACTTTCATAGGATCAGGCTGCGTGCCACATTTCAGTGGCTTCAAAGTGGCAGCTTATGTCACAGAAATAAAATGTTTCTCAAAGAAAAGAAAAACAGTGAAAAGAAAACTGGTAAGAAGCAATGCCAGTTCACACGTATAAAGCTTGGTTACTGTTGGGCATGGACATAAGACTAAGTGGAAAAACACTGTGACTGCATATGAAGACAAGTGTAATTGTTTCTAGGAATGTGTTGGTTTGAAAAAAAAGGTGGAAAACAACATGCAAAACAATAAAATCTGTAACATCACCACAAGCGCAATATGATGAATCAGTAATTTTTGCCTGAAAGCTTTGTGAGGGTGCACCTATATTAGTCACCTATTCTGCAGTTTGCATTGACTCTGGTAAGGAAAAACTTGAATTGAAAAACTGATGACTACACAATACAAAGCTAGGCACAGGGAAGCCCTATGAGGAATCGACTTCTAGCAGGGAATCGTTTCAAGTTCAGCTGCCAGGAGAGGTTTAAATTTTGCTCCACACTGGCACTGCTTTTCTCTGTTTTCTGCCCTGTGTTGACTGCCTGATCCCATGTAAAGAGATGCTTGCAAGGTAAGCATCGGTTGTCTCCAAACAGTTTTTTAAAAAGTCAGATCTGAAAGGAATTAGTGCTAAGCCACTGTGCTGGTAGGGGTGGAAGTTGTCAATTACGTAGCACCTTGGCAAATCAAAGGTACCAGTGGTTAGAGTGGGAAAAAAGCCTATTGTTACCTGGATGACTATAGTGATTTCACCCATGGAAACCAGCAGAGACCCATGGTGAAAAATGATGGATCAAAGCTGATGTAAACTTATTTTCCCCATGGTAGCTGCACCCTGAAGTGGCAATGAGTTCCCATCTGAATCCCAAAATTGTGAACCAAGTAAAGTTCCAGCAGAAAGGAGTTCCTTGGTGCTGAGAAGGCCAGGTGTCCTTAGGTAACCATCATAGATCTAATTGATTGAGTGATACAGCATACTGCCTCATTAGTGCAATGCAGTAATGGGGCAGTAAAACAAAGAAAAAATAGCAATAAAATCATAAAATGAGCAAAGCAGCATTAAATAAATGCTAAGAGTGTGTACAATGATATCTTTAAGTTTGTCAAAACAGGAATTTGGAGCAGTCTGGTTTGTGCTTAAAATGTTCTTCTCATCAGCACTATTTGATATCTCAGACATGTTTCAGTGGCCGGTTTTAAGAAAACAGGAGGGGTTTATCCATCTTCCCTTTTAATGTCACAACCTACCTAATAAATCACAGGTTGCCTCCTCAGTTAATGTCACCCACAGCTGCATTTGGGTTTGGAAATTCACACAGACTACACAATGGGATAATTGGAAGTGCACTGAATTGTACCCCCACACACACAAAAAAAAAAAAACCCCACACTCCTATAGTTGTGCCAGAAAGAAGCAGGACAGATCTTAAAGGGGCAGGATGGATCAGTCTGACTAGAAATGTGTGAATGTTATAACTTGGTTTGCATAATACTGCATCAACAGCAGTTGAAACAGGAATCTATATACCCATCTGGAAGGCCCTAAAAATTCTTATCCACATGGAACACTCACTCATCCCTGATTGATGCCAAATGAGTGTGGATCTTACTGGGATTTCTACCCACACTTATCCCACTTCAAAAATATTTCAAAAATATTTCAAAAAAAGCATAACAATACTGTTCAGGAAGAAAAGAAGAGGAGTCTTTTTTAGAGGTGATGGGCAGTCAAAATAGCTGAGGAAAGTAAAGGATGCATTTTCTAACAGGTTTGGAATTTGGAAAGAAAGTGAGCAAATCAAATACGAAGTGGTTACAGTGCACTTGAGGCATGCTTCAGGCATGAAAATTGCATGTTAAAGGTTGCCAACATGTCCTGATTTCACTTTCTTGGGTCTATGTTGAAACGCCAAATTGGCCTTTAATCAAGAGGGGTACAGAACAGTAGCATTCAACACTATTTTTAAACCTCTTTGCTGAGTTCATGTACAAACCACTGCACATAAAAATCAGTTATGATGAAGTAGGCTAAAAACATCTGTTAGCGTTTTTCACTGCTAGGTAACTATATCAGAACCAAAAAATGGGAACATGAGGCCAGGTGGTGACCCTATTTTGCTAATTTTATGTAGAAAAATTGGGTCCACAATAATACCTTGTTTGCCTTTTGTTTCAAGTTCCCCTCAAATTTCTAATCCTTTTTGTATGAATTAATTTTCATTTCCCCACTTACTTTTTTTTGCTTCACCCCACAAATATACAATTTACGTATATGTTTGCTTTGGGGAAGCATGCCTTGAATCAAAATGAAAGCATAAGATAGTGGTACCTGTTTCATACATGTTCTTGAATATTTGTGCAACCTTCTCTGTGGGCTTTGGCATGGTTTTATGTCTAATTTTTAAAAAAAGCTAGAAGCAGATGTGAGCACCTGTTTCCATGCCACAAACAGATCCATGGACCTTTCTACTTCTGTTCGTACATTGTACAAATTCTGAGCATTCCCATCAAGTTGCTACAGGTGAGAAAGTCATCTCCTGTGTTCCTACAGTATACTGTTCTCAATGGTGGGGGGAGGCCTTCTCAACAGATCTTAATGGTTGGGCTCCTTCAAATATTTTGTCTGAACAAGTTGCAGAGTTTTGAATTTCTGGTAAAGTTCCTCTTTGGTACACAATAGAAGTACAGAGACTCATAAAATAGCTGCAACTTCCCCAGAGCCCACCTCTTTCTTATTAACTGGCACTTAAAGTAGCAATAACTCACTCTCCTTTGCTGCCAGGATCATAGCCAAGCAAAATAGTCTGTTCAAGTCTGGAGTCCAATTTGTCGCTTTAATGTTTTGGTATATAAGCATATGCCAGGCTTCAAAAATTGTTATATATTCTTCATTTGGCACTCAGTAACAATAAAGCTCAGATGATGCTTTTGTGCTGCCCTTGAATGGTAATCTGTTCTGGAGATATGTTCTTGCCATGATTGCATCACCCAAAATCTGTTGGACAATTTTTCATCTGCAAGCATGCATCTTGTCATCTCCAAAAGAGATATCTGCTTTCTTTCAAATATTCCGTTCTGCCTAGGAATATATGGAACAGTTCTCCTATGCAAAATGCCTTGTTCCTTTAGGAGAAGTTTTATGCAGTGCAGAAGTACTCACCGCCACCATTACCCATCTGGAGTGCCTTGGGTTTTCTTTCAGATTTCCACGCATATAATGTGTCTCTTCTCCTTCAGCAGGTAAGTGATTCAGTACCTTGAGAAACCATCCACAAATATTAGAATATTATTATGTCCCAGTGATAGGATATTGAGTGGTTCACACACGGCACTAGGTATCAGATCCAACTCCCCAGTGCTGCATCTCTCTGTCATTGGCAGGAATGAGGAACTAACACTCTTTTCTGTGTTACATGTTATGCAGCTGGTTGTGTTAGTTGCATCATGTTGATTTATCTTGATATTGTGGCATGTTTTTGGCTTTGCCAGAATTGCTTTGGGATATAACTGCAGAAGCCTCTGTGCTACAAGGCCAGAAGACCTGCAGTCGTAAGATAGAATCCACGTGACGGAGTGAACCCCTGTCACTTGTCCCAGCTCCTGCCAACCTAGCAGTTTGAAAGCATGCAAAATGCACAAATGCAAGCAGATAAATAGGTACCACCTCGGTGGGAAG